AGCGCCAGTCTAGACGTGATTCTCCGGAAAATAAACCCTTTTCCGGAGGATCTTTTATTCCTACTTGAAAGTAGGAATAAGAAATCCTCTGGAAAAGGGCTTATTTTCCGGAGAATCACGTCTAGACTGGCGCTTTTCTCCGGCTTATCCCCAAGCCGGAAAAAAGCGGTAGCCATGTAAATGCAAATGCCGCGGGGAATATTTAAATCCCCCGCGGAATTTGCAATTCCGAAGTCTACATTAGCATCCCTTTTCCGGAAAGGGGTGCCAATGTAGACACAGCCCCATGTGATGAAGAATGACATTTGGGATTGATGATCATATCCCTACTAAGAATTGATGATCATATGGAGATGCACATGGTGAAAAAGGCTTCCATTTTTGCAGAATTCTGAAGCTGTGGAAGTTTACAAACTCCAAATGTGTTTCCTTTTGAAATCTGACTTTTGCCCTTCATCCTGCAAATGAAGGAACTATAGTCAAAGACTATCAGCTTCAAAAGTCGTAAGTTAGTTCTGGGGAAAAGGTAAAATTTTCCTATTAAATTTGAAATGAATTGGACTAGAAGTTCATGAATTATAATACTATAGTGAGACACATCAGATAGGGAAGGAGGGTACTGGCACAGAAGGAGGGTCAGGGTCAGGCGGTAAAAAGGAGATGATAATAAAGAAGGTGGGAGAAAACAAATAATGAAATTGTGCAATTAACCAGCCACTTGTCAATTTTCCCCTTCATCCTTTTACCTGTATTTATATGGTGTCCCATTGTCCTTTCCTCAGTCTGTTTTGTCTAATTAAATAGCAAACTCTGGGGGGCCTGACTTTTTCCAATCAGTGAGACATCCAGCATGCTTTGATGCACTTCAGAAATAATAGATATAGTCTCATGGTGTGAGACTAAATCAGTAAGTGTCTGTGAAGTGTTTGGAGAGCCTCACAGGGAAGGCACTACTGAAGAACCACGTATCATTGTTCTTGTTATTACAATAACCAACAAGTGGCATTTATTTAAAAAATTGGTTCAATGACTGTTCATATCCTGGAGCTTAATAGGTCAGATGTTGTGTTCGATAGCCAGAAAAAAATATTATATTGTTCTGAGGAGAAGATTTCAGCGTGACCTTTGAACTTGCCGCCCTTCCTCCCCCACAAATCTCTAAGCCCTCCAGGCCATAATTCTAATGACTGCAGTATAAAAGGAGAGGAGATTTTCAGTGTTAGCTTATCTGTAATGGATTTCTGTGCTCAAGATGAACAATGACAGACACTGTTCATGGGTTTCAGGAAAGAGGGGGTAGGAGACAAGAATGGAGGGAGATGGAAAGATAGAACAAACAAGGGACTGACTGAAAGGGGATGACTGAAAGAAAATGAATGTTTGTTGCAAGAGAGCTGTCTCCAGAGATCTGTAAATCTTTGCACAATTTCTTAGAGTATTGAAAAATTGCACAGGGGTTAAATCCTATTAAAATAAGGGACAAATAATGTTATTGATTGTAAAATTAATCTGTGAAATACAGTACGGGTAATACAGTTAGGATAGAAATGCTGGAGACCCTAGAGCTGTGTCTAGACTGGCCAGTTTTTTCCGGAAATCAGCCGCTTTTCCGGAAAAACTTGCCAACTGTCTACACTGGCCGCTTGAATTTCCGCAAAAGCACTGACTTCCTACTGTAAGAAATCAGTGCTTTTTGCGGAAATACTATGCTGCTCCCATTTGGGCAAAAGTCCCTTTTGCACAAAACTTTTGCGCAAAAGGGCCCGTGTAGACAGCTGAGATTTGTTTTGCACAAAAAAGCCCTGATTGCAAAAATGGCGATCGGGGCTTTTTTTTGCGGAAAAGCGCTTCTAAATTGGCCACGGACGCTTTTCCGCAAAAAGTGCTTTTGTGGAAAAGCGTCCGTGCCAATCTAGACGCTGTTTTCCGAAAATGCTTTTAACGGAACACTTTTCCATTAAAAGCATTTCTGGAAAATCATGCCAGTCTAGACGTACCCTAGAAGTAATAGTCTGTGATAACAAAATAGTGCCCAAGAATGTGAGATTATTTTTTCAGAGGGGTAGCCAAATTAGTCTGTAACAGGAAAAATTTAAAAACAACAAATAGTTTGGTAGCACTTTAAAGACTAACAAAACATGTAGATGGTATCATGAGCTTTCGTGGGCACAGCCCACTTCTTCAGATGACCAGAGTGCTAGAAGTCCAGAACCAAGAATAAATAAGAGAAGGAGGGAGGTGGGGGAGGAAAAAAATGTGAGGGGGGGATTAATTATTGCTGGGGATGGAAACAGCTGCTAGTATTGCACTAAGATACACTTTAGGAGAGCAGTTTTGTTAATTTGGATTTGGAAATAAAGCAAAGATCTATTAAGCACACTATTGACAACAGTCAGTCAGCTGGAGCACCTCAGAGACTTTTACTAGACGTGATTAATACCAATAATTGATACTGCCACTGTGTGCCTTCTGGCTAAAACTAGATTGCTTTAAGGACTGGGATCAAATGTTTTATGATAAAATGTTAAAAAAAATCAAAATAATTGGATATTTGATTTTGAGTATGTGTTTTAGGACAGTTAGCCAAGCTGTGAAACACAGCACAGTAA